GAGCCAGAGTTTCGCCCCCTATAGTCAGTGATGGAATCAGCTGACTATGCCGAGGCGCCGGTAACCACAGCCACTCGGTCTTGGACGGGTTGAGCCTGAGTCTGTTCCTCCCCATCCAGACCCTCACGGCCTCCAGACATCGGGTCATCACGTCAAGGGCATCATTGGGGTGGCCCGGGGTGGATATGTACAACTGAGTATCATCAGCGTACTGATGGAAATCCACCCCTGAATACTCTACAGCTGACTAACTGATGGAAATCCACCCCTGAATACTCTACAGCTGACGTACTGATGGAAATCCACCCCTGAATACTCTACAGCTGACTAACAAATCAAGCCAGACAAAACAAAATATTATAAATATGCAAAATATCACAGCTAATAAGCAAAAAAAAACCCTCCTTCCAGCTAATAACTATAGAGCAAGACTAATCCTCAAAGAGAGGTCCAAAAAAAGAATCTGTATAATAATATTTAATATCTATTAATTCTTACTCGTCTTTTTCTCTTTTTCTCCTCTTTTATTTTTTTTAAAATGCATTAATATCATTATTTTTGTATGAGAATGTAAGGTATCTTCCATGTGGCTTTCTCTTAATTTTATTCATAGAAACAACCCTGTGAGGTATGTTGGACTAAGAGAGAATGACCAGCCTCAAGTCACTTAGATTGATAGGATTTGAAGGTGGGTTTTTGTAATTCCAGGCTAATCTGTTAACCTCTCTTACCACTGAACTATTCCTCCCAAATCCATGCCTTGCGGTTATCTGGGCTGTAGCTACCCAGGTATAGTAGCCATAACTGAACTATTGCAAAGAGAAAATATCAGACATGTCTGTATTTCTGGCAGTCTGGCAAGTTTTTGTTGTTGTTGTTGTGAACATTATTTTCAGAAGAAAGATCTATTTTCAGAATATAGTATCTGAAGCTGTTGGGAGAGCCACTTACAATTTCCCGAAAGGAAGCTGTTTTTGTACTTCTACAGTGACAACAACATCCTGAATAGAATATTAGAGACTAACAGGGAATCCTGTACAAGGAACTCAGTGAGATTTCTTCCTGAATAGAAAAGAACAGAATTGTTTGCTAGGAGTTCTCTTTAATACAAAGGGCTCTGGTATGATAAATCCACATTACTTTCATTTTTAAAATGCCATATGATTTGTTTTTTCTATTTCTTATTCAGGGGAATCTTTCATTCCCTTTTCAAGTGCACAAACTCCCTTTGGGCCATGATTAAATATTACCTAGGCAAAAACACGTACTGGTGCTTCTACAGGGATTTCTTGGGCCCGTGAGTAGGTGCCAAAATCATTTGAAGAAACTTGTCAGTGTCATCATAAAAACATACAATAATAAATCTGGGCTGCAAAAATGCAAATTACTAGCAGCAAAGACATAGAAAAAAATTGCTTCTCTTTGCTGCTATCTAGTGATCATTTATATTACAGTAGAGGTCCAAT